GATGCTCGTATTTGAATTTTACACGTAAGCTTGAAACTGAAAGATATATGCTTGGGTTTTTACACGTTTCAGCACATTGTGCAAGTCTTTTCAATGCAGGTGACAATATGAGGTCTGAGCTGAAGCAAATGAAAACGTCTTTCCTGCAACAAGACTTCTCCTGAAATAAATCACGTCTTAACATGACGAAAGCAACCTTTTTTCAAACACTGAAAAAGCTCCAGTTTGTTCTAAACATTTGAGCTTCACAACAAAAAGTAAAGAACTGTTTGGCTGGAACTGCTTGCCATTATTGCTGGCAGGGGCTTGTCCTCCTTTGTGCAAGCTACTCTCTCCTAACCCCATTCCACCAGAACTTTTTCAGCCCATGCTCTGCCTCAGGGCCATGTGCTTCCAGTGGCCATCATCTGCCAAGCTCTGCTCCCAGCACTTTCAGGCGCAGATCTCTGGCAGCACATCTTTCCCATCCAGGAGATGAAGCCCTGCACCAATTCTGCCTAATGCCAAAAAGTGGAATAGGACAGGTGCAGAACAACTTAACGGATATTCGACTAAATAAATGGTTTGCTGTTATAATTAAATATTTGCTCTGTCTTCACAAATCCTCAGTCAGTCGTTGCTGACAGCTGCTTGCGATGAGCCAGGTTCTGGTTCTGCTGGAGGTTTCTTCCTGTTAAAGGAGAGTCTTTTCTCTCCCCTGTTGCTAAATGCATGCTCAGTAGGAGGGGTTGCTGTAAAGTCAACGACACAATGAATGCAAGCGATTTTCTGCCCCGTCCAGGATTAATGAATTCTACTGAGAAACAAACTTTGATAACTCAGATCAAGAGTGGTTGAATTGAAATATTAAGTGCCTCAAGATGACATTTGTTGTGAATTGGCTCTGTATAAATAAGCTAAATTGAATTGAAATGCATTTTGCCAATTCTTTCTGATGCTTCAGATCACTGCCTGATTTGTACCTAGAAGAATTCATTCTTTTCAGGAGAACATATTGTTTCACCCTGTTGCTGTGTTGTAGCTCAACCACATTTTCCTTCACTGCGGTTTTTTGTTGACAACGTTGCAGAAATACAAGTCTGTCTTTTTCACTTTGGCCTTAGATTTTTCAGCCACGTTCATCTTTCATAAACAAAGATGGTAATTTAACTACTAATCCTGTTTCAGTTTGGGTGCATGGTTAAGACACACTTGTTGAAGACATATGCTCTCTGATTGTCGGTGGAGATGGAAAAAACACAACAGCCTGTCAAGTTTGGACATGTTAAAGCTTTTTTTTTAAAGACAGTGATTATTGAAGCGGAGAACAATTTTTTTATATATATTTTTTTTCTTTACTTTCAGTTTTAGTCATTTAATCTAACCTTTAAATAATTATTTAATAAGTTATTTATTGAACTTTGGCACTTTGTTTACAGGGACTTTCTTTCAAACAATATCCATTAATTGTGCGTCACAATGTCTTCCAAAGTTACATGCCTAATGACGACTTCAGGAGATTGATGCTTCATTTCTGTCAGGTTTCATTACGAATGGAATTCCAATTTTAAAAAGAGCCTCATTTATGTCCCATGTTATACTTTATGAGTCGACGCCTGAGAACACTGTACATGAAATACATGTTGCAATAATTTCAGGTAAACCCATTGCAAACCACGGAGGACACATTTTCAAACTGAGAGGTGTTAAACCCTGGCAACAGGGACACGTTAGCGTCACCATTAGCAGTAATGATGGTAATGAAGGGCTCTGAAACGCTAAACAGCTGCGGGAGACTAAAAGAAGCAAGGCAAAAAAAGGGGGAGGGCAGAGAGCGTGTATGTGTGCGTGTGTGAAAAGGCTTTAGCTTTTGCGTATATCCCTGGAGAAGTGGCCCGTGGAAAAAGAGTTGAGTGCACTCTTTATTTTTTTTTTCTGTTCTCCTCCATAAGGCTTAACAGTGAAGGAAAGCGCGGAGCCCATCCCCCGGTGGATTATTCCTCTGGCACACTGTTAAGCCCCCCCCGTACTCCCACGTCCAGGCAGTTTTGAAACACATGCATTCATTATGAGAGACACTTAATGCACCGAACATGCAGGCAAACACACGTCGGAGAACATCTTTCAATTCAACCCCCTCTGCCTTCATTTGTCCTGTCGTACGCTCCATGCCGCCCCCACGCAACCACACCAACACATACAGCAAGTGGGCTTATGTTTATCTGTGCACGCCTGAGAAAACACACGGGGCAGTCAATTACTCTGATGCACTGACTTGAGGACCTCTGTCATTTTCAGGTGTTCGCAAATCCAAGTAAGAGGGGAGAATTATCTTTGACCACTTCTGTTGGACACAAGCAGCTTTTCCTGTTATATAAGGCAGGTGGATGAGCCCTTCTAAAGGAAAGCGGGACACTCCTGTGCCCTCGGCTTTGTCTGTGGCATATTGCGTCTCTGCATGAACGTCCATGAAAGCGTGCGATGGAGATTAGCTATTTGTGTGCATTCCACACAATGCAGCGTGCGCATTTCTGTGTGACTGCTTCACAGAGTCACATCTGTGATTTAATATTGCATGTCTGTGACTTTATGAACGATGAATGAACATTATACTAGCAGCTTACTTGGTCTTCACCCCATAACTATACTCCCGTGAATGAGTTGGAAATTGGGTCAAAACGTCTGGAAAAAGGAAGTACACACAAAAGAATTTCCTTACAGCGACAGTTCTGAAACTTTCCCCACAGTGAAAGACATACAGTGCTTCTCAAAAGTATTTTTTTCTGTTTCTCTTTTCCTGTCACAACTAACAATGTATATTCTTATAGACACTCAGACCGACCAACACATTGCATGACTGTGTGTAGAGTTTTCCATCCAGAGCCAGCAGAGTTTATGCCAAGACTTGAAATCGATGTTCACAGATGTGTTACATTCAACACAATTGAGCTTCTGTTTATCAACAAGAATGAATGGAAATACAGTTGTTTATATGTGCAGAGCAAACAATACATGCAGCTGTAATTACAACAAAATGTGGTTCTGTAAAACAGGACCAGGACTGAATACAAATACCCGCCACACTTTTAAGAGTTGTAGTTGTAATAGTATTTGATAGACGTGTGCTTTTCTTTTCATATCACTATATACTATTTAGTGTTGGTATTTTGCGTAAAATTCAAGTAAAATGCATTGAAATTTGGGGTTGTCGCAAACAACGTGAAAAAAACTCAAAGGGTATGAATACGTTTGGTGTTTGTTGTCGTTTCACATCCAGGACCTAATGTTGGGATTAAAATAATATGAGAGAAGTATTCATAAAGTTCTACTTTAGACAGGCGACATATGCAAAGTAAGACCCAGGGATCCAGTCTGACGTGTGTCACCTTAGAGAAAATGTAAAAAATATGTGGAAAGAAAGAATTGCATTTCTAACTTGCTGATATGAAATCAATATTACAGAAACGCAGAGACAGCATGAACTTTGGTCTTCGCATATCTCGAGTTGCAGAATATATGTAAGCCTCTCTTTCTGCGAAGCCCTTCATCAGCAACCTCTGTTCTCACACAGGGATGAGATCAGAAATCAACATGCTGCAAAGAATGATTTGTCAAGCTTTGGTCAGGAGGTTTCAACCCAACCGTGGAGCCTCAGTTTTCCATCCGCTGTAATATGCATGCCCGCAAAAAGGGAAGAGGGCTGGAAAAGGGATTGAAACTGTCTCTTGTCGTTCATCTGCTATCTCTTCATGCTGAGCTGCTTTCTGTGCTAATTTCTGCTGCCATTCTGCTCCTACACACTGTTCCAACACCGTGCTTGCTTTTGTACTCAGACAACTGTAAGGTTGAAGGCTAAAATGGTAGTTGGTAATCCAGAAAGCAATTTCCGTACTATTTTTTTAGTTAAAGTATGGCATTTTTTTTGGGAAAGAGTGCATTTTGCAAAATAATAAACAAGACTTCAGCGCCTTTATTTTCCTGAAAATAGAGGATTATCAGCAAAGTGTAGCTATGCCAAACTGCAGAGGCTGGAAGGAAATATAAAATGAAAATATCACCCATACAAATTCAAAATAGTGTATAAGACTCAAAATATGCCCAGTAAGCTTTCTTTCATACTGAGGTGCAGGAAAGCAGTGTGTGCAAAGTGTTCCTAGGGAAAAGTGTGTAGTAAATACTGTGATTATTTAAAGAAAAACATCAATGTAAATAAATAATTTCAGAGAGTAATGTAGTAATGTAATGCTGCCAGTGCCTTTGTGTTCTCTAAAGATGCAGGGTAAAAGTAACATGAGATTAATTACATTTACCCCAGAGTCAAAGTAGGATTCTGTTAAGAAGTGAAGAGCAATCAGTATCTTTCTTGCAGTGGATAACTGATAAAATACACCTGGAGCATCATCAAGTTATTGCTAAACAGAGACCCTATTCAAAAAAATATGTAATATGCTTTTACGATGTTTTTATGAGTACAAAAACAGAAAGCCATTAATAATCAAAATGTTACTTGTTTGTTGAGCTTTAACATGCTGAAAGGTTTTTGCTCCAACATGGAGGCGTTGTTGACATGTAAAACTCAAAGAGATGCTGTTTCTAGCTGTTTCATTTATATGGTAAAGGTAACAGGGACCGAGTAGACTGAGAACTACGGGTAGCGTCCTGTTACTCAGGTTATTTTGTTGGTCTAATCAGATTGTTGTTGTTTTAAAATTCCAAAATTAGCTTTCAATTTAATTTCAGCAAGTTATTTTTCACTCATTTGTAGGCTGGCCAGGTTTATAACGAGTAAACCAGAGTTGGCTCACAGAAAGCTCCACCATTAGGCTAATTATATCAATTTTTACCAGCGCCAGAAGCGCTGTTTCTACGTTGAGCCTAAGCTAGGATATTTTATAAAAACAAACAGGGATGCGGTATTTCAACACATATTACAGCTTTTGCTGTGTTAGGTGGCAGCTGAAATACTTTCAGTGATGTTGTTTTGAAAGTTTTACTGAATACATGTTTGTTTCCCTCTGCAGGCAGTTCCTCTGCCATTCCTGAGGCCGTCGCCTCAGATCCACCAGCTCCTGACGAGGCAGTCAGGCCCAAACCTGCCGCCCTTCTTCACGAATCAACCATCATGGAACTCGGCAGCACCGGCAGAACCAAAAGCCTCCCAGAAACCAGCTGCAGCTCCTCGCTGGACCTTCATAAACCTCTCCCTCCTCCTCTGACTCCTCCTCCTCCACCTCTACCTCCTGCTGCAGACATTCCTGACCTTCCTCTTCCATCGCCCCCCATCCTGCCTCCCCCTCTGCTTTCCATCAAGTCGGCTTCCACCTCCAGTCCTCCTCCCTCTCTGCTTTCCATCAAGTCGGCTTCCACCTCCAGTCCTCCTGTCCCTCCAGTGCCGCCCCTCGGCGACAGCCCCCAGCGTCCCACCACGCTCAACATCAAGACACTTCCACGCTCCACTGCGAGGGAGAACGGTGGCCCTCCGCCTCGGGCCGACGACAATGAGGACGAGAGGAAGCTGCTGGAAGAGGATCTAAAAAAATGCATTGAGGACTTCAAAAAGATCCGCTTGCCCACGGTGTTTCCAGACCGCAAGAGGCACTGGCAGAACGACCTGCTCAAGAAGTACAATGCGTGAAGAGCCTCTCCGTGGTGCTGCTGTGAACAAACCCGACTAAAACCTTTAGAAACTCTGCTGCGGTTGGTGAAGAGAAGCTCAGGTTTACAGTAACATTACAAAAAAAAGAGCATTTGCACCCAGTTTTTTTTTCTGTTTTTACTTTTTGTTGTCACAATTAAATGTTTCAGATCATCAAACTAGCTGTAACATCAGACAAAAAAGCAAAAGCAGGGTAAACACAAAAGTCAGTTTTCAAATAATGGCCACATGTATTAACAAAAAATTTATCCAAACCAGCATTGTCCAATATAAAAAAGTAAATAAAACCAGCAACAGCGTGACTGGGTTACCTGTCAGTGAGTTCTTCACAATGCATTTACAGCCATTTAGCATCGATTCTGTGCTAAGTGTGCTTTTGGGTCACCGTCCTGCTGTGTAACTCGTGTGTGGCAGATCAGAAACCGACTTTCATGGTTCCATCAAATTACAGCAAGTCGTCCAAAAGCTGATGCAGTGAAACAGTCCCAGATCATGATACCGCCACTACTTTTGACAGTAAATGTGACATTCTTTTTCTAAAATGCCTCATCACTTTTCACATGAGATGTAGCCGAGAGCGCACCTTTCAGAAAGTGGATTCCTTTGTGACACCCTGGATGAGACTTCAGTGTCCTCTTTAAGTAATTTTAGAAGACAGTCCCCTCCTGGGAAGGTTCAACGCCACGTTTTCATGTATTTGTGAATAATACTCCCATTGTGGTTCACTGCCATCACCTCAGCTTTGCAACCCTGCTGATGTGAATTGCTCGTCTTTTATTTGACATTAAAATATGTTTGGCGATCTGAAACATCTCAGTGAGACAGAAGAAATGCCTAAGGGGGCAAATACCTTTTCGCAGCTCTGTAAACGCCAGAAAGTTTACTTCACCTGGACTTTTAAACAACTTTTCTATTTGTCAAAGAATGTGTGACGCTCAGGTTAAAACTGAAGGGAGTCAATAGACACTAAAAGTGTCAGTTTACCTCAACAAAAACCCATATCGCTGTAGAACCTCGGCGACTCCTTCCACGTGAAACATAGAGAAAGGAAAGAAGATAAATGTGATGTCATTTATTAGGGATTCCTGCTTTCCTCTCTGCGACGTGTCTGCTGATCGAGCAACTGGAAAATGCCAGCAAACTGCCACGCTTCTAAAGCGTTTGACCTTAATGGCGCAAAATAAAGGAAGGGAGTGAAATTTCTGGATTTAATCTCTGTGAGTTCACCTCATCAATATTACATGGCTGGCTTCAAAGCCTTTCTACTCTAATACATGAGCTCCACATTTTGCTTCACTCTGTGTTTATCTTCCAGTTAGCGATGGAAAGAATTCAGAGAGAGAGAGAGAATGGAGCCTATCGGAAGCAGAGAGGGTAATTACAGGCAGGACTGAATGTGGAATAAGAATGGCAGTAATGGTAGATGAACCACTGTACAGCCCCTTTTGTTCCTCTGTCTGCACTGCATAAAATGCTCATCCAGCGCCACTAATGAATTACCAGGTGTCTGCATGTCCCTATTTCCGTCCGTCATTGTGGGGAAAATGTGATAAGCAAGTCGGTATGAAATGAAAGAATAATTGCCTTTTGTCTTTTCAATTGTTCTGAATCATGCGCTGTGTTGCACTGAACTCGGCGGCTGTAAGCTTAGCTCTGCAACAAAAAACAGACAAGAAAACAGTGCATGAGGAAGATTTGCTATATTTTGTAAACATGGATGCACAAGCCAAAATATTGCAGAAAAGAAATGACAGCTGATCAAGCACAGAGTTACCAATGACAGACTGTGTTACAGGCTCAAGGAAAGTAGAGGAAAGGCAAGTTTGTTAGTACAGCAACACTCACACACAAGACAGCTCAAAGTGTTTTACAGATAAATGGAAAAGACAATGGAGTACAGCAGCTAGAGTGAGGCAAAAACAATTGTATTCAAAACAAGAAATGCATTTATTGGACAAAGGCATAATTCAAATATGATGTCATTAATTTGATCTTTAACTTTTATGAAAGACCCGCAGAGAACACTGCTGTTTTCAGGCCTGTTTCTGCAGATCTCAGGTTTTCAGGAGGCTTGTTCGGGAGCAGAGGAGCAAAATTAACAAAGCAAGTACAGAACTTGTTGGGTGAAACCGTTTATTTAGCTCCTATGTTGACAGAAACACCCAAATCACAACCTAATAAAGTCTCCTCTCACTGCATAAATGTGAAGAAATGTAGTAATCCTCGTTGAAATGCATTGTGGTGCAGTTAAACTGCTTTTTCACACCGTCAGCTCATTGAATAGATGCTTGCTACACATCACTGTTATCTGTAGGACAGGAATGCAGGACGCTAGGTAAGATGTGGACTTGACGGCAGCACAGGACACAACTTCGGACAGCAACGCTGTAGTCACTCATCAGACTGACATGTCATCTGAAAGGATTTACTCACCGAGAGCAGCAGTGGTCTTGTTGGGTTAGTATGACTGAACGATGGTGACTTGACATCTGTTTGAGCTAATGCAAGTTGACTCTATTGAAGGAAAGGTTCTTGTGACCTCTGCTGAAATAACTGTTGAATTCCTGCAGGAATCTTACATTGTCTTAATTTGCTCTAAGCTTAGAAAAAAATACAACTTGAGCAGACTAATATTCTCATTAAGAACACACACAAAAAATCTGATTTTCCACCCCTCTCAGAATGAATTAACCTCTTTTAATACAGAGTAATACCTCAGGAAACCATAAACCCACAATTCTAACTCAGTTTGGAAAAGGAGGTGATGGATTCTTGGATCTCCCACGCCAGCAGTTCAGTGGTGCCTTAATCCAGGACAAGATAAGAAACCGAGTGAAAGCAGCTTAATAGAAGCAACAGTTTTACCACCTCCAACTGATGCAATGAACATGTCCCGATCAATAAATCAGCGGAGGAGAAGATTGTCTCCTGACAGCCAAGCATCGGATTTCTGTTCTTTTTTTGGGGGGCGATGGAGATGCTCATGTTCAGTACTGTGGTGTTTTTTTTTACATTGTCTTCAAAAGCCTGACTAATTACCACGGCAGCTTTCGTGTGGTGTGTTTTTCTTTCATATTGTGTTTGCGGTCCTCTTGAATATAGATGCACCTTTGATGTTCCCCTCCACGTCTCCTCTAGTCTCGTCTCTCCAGAAATAATCAGTGACGCATGAGACCATCCGATTGCTGTTTTTGTTGGGATTCATATAAAAATATCCATGCATTATTTTGGCCTCACAAATAATAAATTAAAAAAGAAATCTGGTGAGCAACAAGCAACAAATCGCACACACAGCCTCTGCTACGAATGCAATGCTTCCCATCTCGGTGAATTTTTTTTATTTATGTTTTGCTCATTTTATCCTCCCCCTCTGACTCATTTAAAACTAATAAAGTCAAACTTCTCTTTGTTTGTCAAATTCCCACTGGATCCCCACTGTGTCTCGCTTTAGGTTTTATGATCCTGTCTCGTCTTGGAGTTCCTACCTGCAGTGCACCTTGTTTCCAATTCCTTTACAGCCTTAAGATCAGAGTCAAGAAATCATCAGATGTTTGCTGAGAATGAATTATTTAGACAAAAAGAACCATTTTATCCCAGGTGCACCGCTGACCTCTAAGATGCAACACATCGTCTTGCTCTAAGTAGCGGGGGATTAGCAATAGATTAGCATTTGTCACAGCCTTAAAGACTGTATTAACAGTAGGCTACTCTTCTTAGAAGATAAACTCTTTCGACCATTCACGCCATTAACTGACATATTTTATAACAACCCAAACATTCAGCTCTTTTGCAGCAGGATGTAGACTAAATCACTAAGGAGATCCTTTACAGAGAGCATTGCGTTTATTAGCTTCTTCTTTATGATATTTTTCAGCAGCAGCTTGTAGTGCTGCAGCGCGGCGACTGCGACTCAGATCTGTGGCGTCATTATTCTGCATGTCAAGCCAGAGTCCATGCGGAGGATCGAAAACTGGTCGTTCACATTCAAATTTGTTTACAAATGCTGCAATGAGACAAAAGACAAAAGACAAAAAACAAAAAACAAAACATGCATCCCAAAAGGAAATTGTCTAATTTAAATTAGCGTTTTTTCAAATTTGAGTTTCCTCTTTCAGTTCTCTTTCATCTTTTGTCTCTTTTTGGAACAACTTTCAGTGCAGATAACTTATTACGAATGCTCAATGAGAATTTAATCTCTGAAGTCGATATGCTGGGCCCTGCAACAAAGAGAATCCTTTTCCTTTGAAACGAAGAGGTAAAGCAGTCTGGTGGGTTCAAGATGGGCAGGATAACAGTCTTTGACAGAATATTCTAGCCAGTGAGATCAAACCAGGAATTGTAGCAACAATCATTAGCGTTAGAGAGAGGCACTGAAACCAGGTGGGTTTCTCCAGTGATGTCTTGAAGTTGTAAGTGGATTGAAACTCGATGTTCTGTAAGGGCAGGCTTTGATTTTAGGCAAAGACTTTCACTGGTTCAGGATTTCCCTCAGTTAAATGACGCCATGTCATACACGTGCCACAATTTGAGGAGATTTAGCCAAATTAGCCAAACAAGTCGCAGGATGCTGAACGATGTCCCTCATTTATTAATGTGTAATTCATTTTTGTGTTTCTACCTCTAGTCTATAATCTACGGCGCCTTGCATTTGCATGAAGGAGCACCTTGCAGATTTCTTTGGAACGGACAGCAATACATTAACATCTCATTTCTTCCAGGCACGAGTTATCTTCAGTGCAGTCTGCTCTCTTGACAATTAAAGCAAAGGCTGAAAGGGATCCGTGTAAAAAAAAAGAAAAAAAAGAGTAATACTCAGAGGGTCATGAGATATTTTAGTATTTCAGCTGTCAGGAAGTTTTCGTGCGATAAAATGTGTTTTCAAGGGAGATAAGAAAAGAGAGGCCTAATTATTGGACTTGAAATGGGGCTGGAAAAGAAAGATGAAGCTCCAAGTCAGCAGACTATTTATATTTTTTTATTATGCAGAATTTTATTAAAGAGTGGCCCAGATGATCTGCCTAATTTAAATAGGAGGTGATTTCTTTGACATAAGAAAAAAAAAAGACTCCATGTCAAACGAACTTCGACCGAGATCAATTGAACTAATGTGAAAAAATGTTATGGCATTATGTCAATAACCAACAAACAAAATCAGGGCCAAGTCTTGCACACTCACACAGGATGACAGGCTGCCTCAGACAGAACACATTGTGTCTCCCATGAGAAGGTCCTTCAAGAGATAAGTGCTAAAACAGAGCTTTTCAGCCTGAAAGAGGAAACGCAAGGTCAAAAGTGAGCAAAAGTGCACAAATGGTAAAGTAAAATACTTTAGCAGCTGTGTGAATTATGTGATTTAACTTGAAAACTATGAAGCAAAAAAAAAAAAAAAAAAAAGAAAGGTGTAAAAGAAATGTGTTCACCTGTCTTTGCTCCTTCTCTTGTTTTAAGAGACTCTATACATAAGTCGAAAGTCTGCATGAAATCCCAGTTCGCAGCGCTGGGTATCCCAGTCTCCCACGGATCGATGCTGAGTCTCTCGCACGTCACCGAGGGTTTCTCAGGAAGCAGAACTTCAGCTGCTTGAGGTCAGAAATCGCTAGTGACAAACCAACGGAGAAAACAATCAAACAAACAAACAAAATAACTGTTTCACTCACAAACTTGTCCTCTGCTCTGACTTTTTCACAGAAAGAGCAGTGAATAAGAACACCATCCAATCGTTTCTTTCAGTGACTTGTAAAAGAGTTTATAACCTTAAAGCTTTTTTTTGAATTCGTCTGTGAGTGAGTGTGCAAGTATATTCGGGTCTAAGGAAAAAAAAAATTGAAAATCCAGACCATATTGCTCAGCAAGCGTTACCGTGCTGTGCTGCTTTGGCAAGCGTGCTTCGGCACATAAATGTTTTTTTTTTTAAAACAACCACATGTAATTTATTGGAGATCAGGGATGGCTGGTCATGCAGGCAGCGAGTGGTACATGCTGCAGGGGGGGAGGCAGTGAAGAGAAGAGTGCCAGAGGGAATGTGTCAGACTCTGTTCACAGCTTTTCCATTTCCATCATTAAAACCTGGAGCCTAATCCATGCAGCTCCTTTAATCTCTTAATTCTGTTCCCATTTTCTCTGCAGACTGCGCTCTCCTGTTCCATTCTCTCTGCCTCCCCGATTCTCTGTCGCTGATTCAAAATCATATGTGTTTCTGGATGCAGCGTGCTTACTCTTTCACCTCTCACATGCGCAAACTCCACCTGTGGTTTGCACTTTACTTGCGACTTAAAAGCTTTACGTGCCTCTGCCTTATTCATGCTCGTTTTTTTCTTCTTTTCTTTTGCCTGTGTCCTTGATTGTTGTCAGCCGCTAAGCATGACTAATGGCATGTAAGAGGATATACAGCAGACACGCCGTGGAGCTGAGCAGCGACATGATTTGGATGGGAGCATTAGATGACTCGATTACCAACACTGACATAAAAAAGTGAATTTTTGCGAGGTGGCAAGACAGATGGCCTGACAGTCCGATCCTGAGCCAGAGCGCTTGGCCCTCTACTTTCATGACATGGCCTGTCTGAATGAGAGGCATGGTGCCGTGTTGTTGTGCATGTTTTATTTTTCTTCTTTTCTTTACAGTGTCTGCTGTGTGACTGGAACCGCTTTCGATGCGCTGCATGGAAATAACAATCTACCAAATATAGAAGCACATATCAAACAGGCTCAGGCTCCTGCAGGAGTGTAACTTATTCATAAGACATTGCAATAGCTGCATAAGCGCACATTAGAGATGTAAAAGCCTACTTAGGACATCGTTTGAATTGATTAAGATTCACCCTGATCATTTCGACAGCTCCGAAGCTCATTAATGCTTTCCGTAGCTCACAGCACTGCATTGCATCCTCCATAATTTCCTCCATTTTCCAAACCATTGACTGTCGATTTCAGCATGCCATCAGATGCTTAGCTCACATGTCACTCTGAAGGTGAGCTGCACCCAACATGCAGATGTGCGAGGAGGAAGAAATGTTTGGTCTGTACTTTTCTCCAATTGCTTTCGCCCTTTTTTTCCTGCTTTTCTGACCTACAGAATATTAATTAGGTGAAATCAGGCTGGAAAATAAAAAAACCCTAGGCAAATCAGAACACAGTGTGTGACTCGAGGCAAAGTTTTCTGCGAGTGGAGCTGGTTTCTGATGTCTCTTGGAATTAAAATGAAGTAGAGTGAAAAAGTGTAGTTTGTACCTTAGCAGGAATCTATCCGCCTGGCGTGAAGCTCCAAAGAAGAAGTCAAATGTTTTTTGTTTCAAAATAGTTAACAATATTGACAACCTACATTTAAAGTCTGTCTTCTTAATAATCTAGATTGCCGGAGTCATGAATGTGGGCGTGAAACCCAGATATCGCCCTCCCTAGTGTCACTGTCTGTGTTTTTCCGGGGGTTTTCTAAAGAGTTCAAAAGGGATATGTTTTTCCTCTAGCGAGTTCTCAGTCTGCCCTGGATCTGTTCCTGGTTCACCAAGGCAGGGAAACCTCAAAATAGAAACACCAAGTAGGACTCTGGATCTGATGTAATGCCTGAACCTCCATAGTCAACTTCTTTCAGGCCTGGCTCCATCCCAAGATTCCTCTGGATGATGGAGGTCTTCATCCCGTCACCAAGGTTGAGGGTGGCTACCACATGGAAGCTAATTTCAGCCACTGTTGTCCAAGATTTTTTTGGCCTCAATATTTCTAGGCCATAGACGAAGGTTTTGCTTTTCGATTCGGTCTTGACTCAAGACGGGACCCAATCATTTAAGAGAGGCTCCAACATGTTCATGCTTGTTAGCAAGACATTAAGACATGTGAACGTCTCTGCTGGAGACAGAATCGGAATCTCAAAGCAGAGGGAGAGAGGAACATATCAGCCATGACACTTCCAAACCAGATACTCTCCTCTCCATAACAAGACCTGAAGACCACAAACAGGACGAGTGACACGAAGAAGCAATGGAGGAGATGAACCTGAGCTCACAAGAAGCTGTTCTGGGAATCCAGACACAGGTATTGTTTTCATCATAGAGGGAATAGCTGGTCCTTAAAAGCAGCCAGGGATGCCCCACATCACCCCCTCACAAAATTGTCATTATTGAAATACATTCGCAATGGTTAAACCCAACTCCTCTGACCTTGTGAGCAACTCTGCAAGCATAAAATTGTGAGCCATTATCCCACAATCAGGACAAAAGCTGCTGCTGCTCTTGCATCCGAGATTCGTCAATTAGTCAGCGCCTCTATTTTGACATCCTAGAGCAGACTTTCCCATGGAGGCTAAGAAGAGGCTTCCCCCAGTGGTCGGAAAACACTCATCAGTCCTCTTGCTAAAAGTATGACCAATTAATCGTCATCTCATTGTAAACTGAAGAGCGTAAGAGGAGGAGACAGTGTTTCTCAAAAG